AGACTTTTAGCTTGTTACAAAGAAGTTGTGGACAACATGCAGGACCTCATGGAATTAGGTGATTTGCCTGACTTTGTAGTTGTAGATAGCACTGGTGGTGGTGGTGTTGGTGATGGTGGTGGTGGTGGTGGTGGTGATGGTGGTGGTGGTGGTGGTAGTGCTCAAAATGTACTGAAGCTAATGATATGTGTAATCAAGTGGTGTGGCATAAAAGTTGCAGGAATGCTGTTGACATCCAAAAAGTGCAGAGGGCAAAGAAGAAACATCAAGACCAAGAGTCAGTCAGCCCTGTAAAAACTCGCCGCATGAACAGTGGTGCCATGTCCATCACACAGGCTTTCCCCTCAGCCTCTACATCTTTTAGTGAACCAGTTGACACTCCATGTCTCTTCTGTGATTAAATGGGCAACAGGAAAGATATGAGGAAGGCTGCCACTCTTGGCTTGGACAAGAGAGTCAATGATTGTGCTAGACTGTTAGGTGACAAACGTCTGTTGGCAAAACTTTCCACTGGTGATATGATCGCCATTAATGCTGTCTACCATTGTGCATGCCTGACACGGCTATACAGAAAACTGGAGACAGTCGGTTGTGACATGACTGAGAGTCATAAAACTCAAGTGATGCGAGCACATGTTCTCAATGAGTTAGTTGACTTCATTGAAGCGACAATTTGTTGACAAGCGAATAATATCTCAGGAGGAGGCATTTACTCCATCAATACCTCATACCAAGCTAAAGTTGTTCAAGGCCTCACTGTCTCAACCACGCAGAAAATCAGAGGTGGCTGTTGTCAAGGACCAACAAGCCAAGGTGACCCAGAATTTGCTGGCAGCACATTCTGGTCGCAGCATCAATGAGTCTGTGTTCTCCCGTGAGGACTTGTCTGATTCAGGAGGTGGCTGATCAATACCCGGTCCATCAAGAAGCATGTGTAGGAATGTTCTCAATGTAGGTGGGATGAATTCAGCTTCACATGCGTTTGGAAAGGAGCCTGTGAAAACCTGCCTCATGTGGAGATAGTCACGACGGAGGATCTTGGCTGCTTTGTGAAGGATGGAGACCTCAGTTGATGTACTAGCTGTCTTTCATATCCACAGCTTTGCTTAGATCCTCTTCAAAAACAAGAGACCAGCAACGATTCATTTTTACTGGCTTGATGTCAGGGATCATGCGCTCAATCTCTTCTCTAAGGCGTGTTGTGTTGTATTTGATGTGGGAAAAACCGAGAACCGCCAGGCGCTTGTCATAGAGGGGCCTAAGAGGGCTGTTATGTCAGCCATTGCTATTGAGGTGCCTGCACTACGATTATCTTCAATGAAGTCAACTAACTCATTGAGAACATGTGCTCGCATCACTTGAGTTTTATGACTCTCAGTCATGTCACAACCGACTGTCTCCACTTTTCTGTATAGCCGTGTCAGGCATGCACAATGGTAGACAGCATTAATGGCGATCATATCACCAGTGGAAAGTTTTTTGCCAACAGACGTTTGTCACCTAACAGTCTATCACAATCATTGACTCTCTTGTCCAAGCCAAGAGTGGCAGCCTTCCTCATATCTTTCCTGTTGCCCATTTCATCACAGAAGAGACATGGAGTGTCAACTGGTTCACTAAAAGATGTAGAGGCTGAGGGGAAAGCCTGTGTGATGGACATGGCACCACTGTTCATGCAGCGAGTTTTTACAGGGCTGACTGACTCTTGGTCTTGATGTTTCTTCTTTGCCCTCTGCACTTTTTGGATGTCAACAGCATTCCTGCAACTTTTATGCCACACCACTTGATTACACATCATTAGCTTCAGTAGATTTTGAGCACTACCACCACCACCACCACCATCACCACCACCACCACCACCAGTGCTATCTACAACTACAAAGTCAGGCAAATCACCTAATTCCATGAGGTCCTGCATGTTGTCCATAACTTCTTTGTAACAAGCTAAAAGTCTTTCCGGATTATTTCGCAATTTCACTGATGATGAAGGATTCATAGTTGGCTTATGACCTTCACCTGATTGGCATATGAAGCATAAGCTCCAGTCACGATTTTCAACCATGCTTTTAGTGTTCATTATTGACTAACCTAAAGACAACAACAGAAATCTGACATGTTTGCAGTAGCTGGATTGCGTGTAGTGGTGTACTAGTCTTACCTTCAAGGGGCGTTCCGCAGCGATCGATCGAACATGCATTGTCTAGATACATTGTCTAAGACGCATTGTCTAGATACATTGTCTAAGACGCATTGTCTAGCTTGCTTGATACAATGGCATGTGTACGAATAGAATTTTTTAAGGATGGCCTAAGTCTAAGTTCCTTTCTCTAGTATCAAAATGCCCCTAAATTTTTTTGTCATAAATTTCATCGAATTGCCAACTTTGTGTATTATTTCTTGAATTTTACCTCTAAATGTATTCCAAATGCAAAATTAATGCCAAAAATGAATTCAGTGACCTCAAATTAGCTAAAAAAAAACATGTGTCACAATAGTTTCTATGACAAACGGTTCAGGAGATGTGAGTCGACCAAGTTTTCCAAAATGGCCACCGGCGGCCATCTTGGATTTTGAGATAGAACGTGTGTCTTTGGATAATTTTTTTCCTAGGGTTCTAAGGAACTTCTATGCCAAAGGGGCCATTTGTAGCATGAGTTGAAGTCAAAAAACACTTAGCATGTCTACTATACAGGTGCGAACAGAAAAGAACAGAAAAGCAGGGGAAGAGAATAGAATAGAATAGAAGAGAAAGTAAGAGACTGTACATTGCAGATACGCCACGCCATTCTCCTCTGCCTCCGCCGCTGCCGCTGCCGCTGCCTCCGCCGCTGCCGCTGCCGCTACCGCCGCTGCCGCTGCCTCCGCCGCTGCCGCTGCCTCCGCCGCTGCCTCCGCCGCTGCCGCTGCCTCCGCCGCTGTCTACTCCGCCGCCTCCGCTGCCGCTTCAGCCGCGCCAGCCGAGCGTGGAAACAGTAGCGGCTTTGATGTGTGGATGCGGCGGAAGGCAGCCGACAACTGCAAACGACAGTTTTCCTATCGGCGATGAAGCCCTCACACAGCTTCCCGCCCCACCCCACCCGTAGCATCCCCTCAACCGCCAGGCGGCGCTGTACACCACCAGGTGGCGCTGTTCAGTGGGCACCGCGTCAGAAAGACTTCTACGTCAGACTCATCGGGGAAGGTAGGAGGTAGTTTGACAACGCGCGTGTGTGTCTGTGCAGGGTTAAGGAGCGCGCGTCCATCGATGTAAAAGAGAACAATTCGCATGCGCTTTTCGCATCAGCCTTACTACAATGACCATCGGGTGGCTGGGTGGGTGAGGAGGAGGAACATGGTACCCGTTCCTCCTCCTCATCCCGACCACCCACCCACGCATTCCTCCCCTCCACCCATCGTCTGCATATACTATCCACATTTCTACACGCGCACGCACACAGGTACGCACGCACGCACTCACGCACTCACACACACACACACACACACACACACACACACACA